GTTTACTGTGTCAATGCTTTTGATATGATTTTTCAAATTGAAGTCCTCAGTGTTTATATCGCACGTGAGAGTCATTTCACAGAGAATCGGGCTGTAGGTGTTTGAAACATTATTGAGTTTGTTTTCATATTTTAATAAGATTGAAAGAGTTTATGATGTCTAAAACCTATTCCTTTTAATTCATTAACGTCAAGAGATGAAAATAACCTCTATTGCTTTTTGACTGCTTACTATATGCCGGACATTTTGCTAAGTGCTTTGCACTTATTCATTAATCTAATTCCCACAATTTTCTTCTGAGATTATTATAATTATTATCACCGTTTTCCAGATGAGGAAATTGAGGCACAGAGTGATGAAGTAATTTATACATATCACATACTTGGAAGTGGTGGGGCCAAGATTCGAACCCAGGGAGTCTGGCTCCAAAGTCTGACTGAACCACCATCTCAGTCTTCAGGTTCACTTATACGTGGGCATGTGTGTGTTTCTTGCACAAACTAAAAGCGTTACCTACTTGCAGAGAAAACATCTCCCAAAGGTTGGCTATAGCAGGACATAGGATTTGCATTAGACAACATGCTCGTAGATCGCTCCTCACTGGATTGCCCTGTGCGCGCAGGAAGAAGGTTCCAGAGTAGGAACTGCACCCCTGCTCTGTCAGAGTGGCCTTTTTTTAAAGATTTTATTTATTTATTTTCAAAGAGAGGGGAAAGGAAGGAGAAAGAGAGGGAGAGAAACATCGATGTGTGGTTGCCTCTCACGCGCCCCCCACTGGGGACCTGGCCCGCAACCCAGGCATGTGCCCTGACTGGGAATCGAACCGGCAACCCTTTGGTTCACAGGCTGGCTCTCAGTCCACTGAGCCACACCAGCCAGGGCAGAGTGGCCTTGAAGTACGTGAAAAACCCAACAGTTTCTTGTCTCTGCCATTCTCACCCTGGTGCAAGGCACCGTGGTAATTTGCTGGGATCCATGCAATGGGTCTGGAAAAGGTCCCTCTGCTCCAACCAGCGCCCCTTTCTGTCTGGTGCAAGGGGCTATCACCTTACTTCTCCACTCGGAGCCTCGCTGTGGCTTCTGTTTCAGCCAGGACAATACACAGAGTCCTTCTGCGGTCTTCGATGTCCCCCTAGCACTTCTTTACCGCTCCCCTCACTGCCTTCAACCTCCCCTCAGCGCTGGCCTCTGGGCTGTCCCTTAGACATCCTGTCAGCCAGCGCAGCAAGCCTCAGGACCTCTGTCCTTGGTGGTCTCTCCCGGGCATTTCCCTCTTCCCTGGGGTCTCACCATGGTCCCCTCTCCCAGCAGCTCTCTATTCTCCCGCCCAGCATTATTCTTCTCCGTTGTGCTCTTAATGAGCTGATGTGCCATACATCATTTTACTCATTTGTTAGTGTATTCTGTGGCTTTGAAAACTAAAGTGAACAATTCATTTTATTATTCTGCTTTTGTTCCTATTGTATCCCCAGCACTGAGCATCCAGTGGGCATTCAATAAATATTTGTTAACGAAATGAATGCATTATGAAGCCGTTTGGGAGAATCGAGTGAACTATCATATGGAAAGCGTTCAAAAAATGGTTAGCGTGAAATTAGTGTTTAATAAATGCCAGGTGTTAATAAAATAACATAATAGTGATTAAATGAAGGAAGTATTAAACATTGGAGACTATTACTTTATCGTGTATTGGCAAGAGGATAAGCAAGCTACAGATACTTTCAATGTTTTAACTTACACACATAATGCATGCTGGAGGAAGTAACCTGGACATCATTCGTGCCCTCTTTTTTTTTTTTTTTATCTAGAAGAGGTGCTACACCCCACCCTGCCCTGGGCAGGTGTATAGTGCCCAAACCTGGCTGAGCTTTGCAATCACCTGGGGAATCTTTTCATTTGTTATGTTTAAAGATTTTATTTATTTATTTTTAGAGAGAAAGGAAGGGAGGGAGAAAGAGAGGGAGAGAAACATCCATGTGTGGTTACCTCTCACGTGCCCCCTACTGGGGACCTGGCCCACAACCCAGGCATGTGCCCTGACTGGGAATCAAACCGGTGACCCTTTGGTTCACAGGCCGGCACTCAATCCACTGACCCACAGCAGCCAGGGCGGGCATCTTTTAAAAAAATTGATCCTGCCTCCCATCCTCAGATATTCTGATACGATTGGTCTGCAGTGAAACTTCTCTACTCTTCAACACGTGATCATTAGCAAATCCCTTCCCTTATACTAAGCCCATTTAGAGTATGTCTTCCGTGGATTATGACGCAAACTCAGAGCTTGGGGGCCAGGCTGTAAAAACAGGGTTTCCCCTCCCCTTTGTCCTTCGTTCCTTCCAGGGATAAAAGGGGAGACTCATTTGCCAATGTTGCTCTAAGCTGGAGCCCTCTCACAGAGCACACAAGGATGAGGTCAGATCATTGGCCACCACCCCCAGGGCGGCCCCATTCTCGCCTAGGCACAGACAGCCATGCCTGTTGCAGGCCTGTGATGGATGGATGTCAGGGCATCAAGCTCCCGCCGAGAGGCTGCTGTAGGGACATCAGAGGTCCTCCCAGCGTCCTGCTCCCCAGCCCTGACTACACCCGTTCCCTGCGTCTCAGTCCCTCCCTGCCCAGGGCCTTGTCAGAGGCCACTGTGCTGGACACCGGGGTTCACTCAGCATTAGTTTTGCTGGTTTAATCAGGGTCTCGAATTCAGTCCTTCAGACTGCCATACTTCACCATGTGACCTGCCCACCTGAGGTCCCCCCATCTCCCTTCATCCCAAGCATGTATGCCACCATGGTAACCATGTCTAATCTCCGAGGCCAGACGAACACCTGCCATTTCACATAAGACAGCCCTTCCCCTTTGATCCTATGATGCCACCATTCTGAGCCCGGCAATTTCCAGAATGGTGTTGGGGCATCTGGGACAGCACACTTCCAGGGCCACCCTCATGGGCGTGTGACCAGTGCCGTCACACAGGGCCCTGGGCTGGGTTTCCCGATCTGCTCTTTAAGATCCTTAAGTGTGTTTTAACGAGGGGTCCCGAGTTTTCATTTTGCACCGTTATTGCAAATTACGTAGCTGGTTGAGCACAGAGCACGAGGAGTCGGACGACGTGGTGTGAATGGCACCTGGCTTACACCTGAGCAGAGTGTGACCTTGGCCGAGTTATTCTTCCTCTCTCATCATTTGCAGAGAGGAGGGGGGTGCATCAACTGGCTCCATGGAAGGGGAGTTGTGAAAATGAAGTAAGATAACAGATGAGGGTCAGCACGTGATATGACTTGTTAGCTCTCAGCAAACACTTCTCTTTTCCCTTGCGTTCCAGATCACAAGCTGCTGGATCCAAAAGACATTTCGGTTTCAAGGGGATTTTAAACTCTATTTTTCCTAGTCAGTGATATATGCCTAAAGGACCGATCCTGGAGGGTTTTCATTGATTTTTGTTAACTCTTATTAATTACACAGAAGGACAATGGGAAGCCTTCTTGGTCTTGATTACATTTGAACAATATGTTGTTCAGATGCCATACAAAGTAGCATCTTTCAAGGTATTTGTACATGATCTGCTTTTAGTTGTTGAAGATTAGAGAGAAAAAATATTGAATTTAAGTCCACGTCATTGAAGTAATAGTGGCTTGCTTTACTTGAAGGAGATTTTTAGGATGCAAAGTAATAACTCTACCATGTAAAGACTTCTTCTGCCTTGGGTAATGTGCTTGAGTGAAGACTTCATTAAGAGTCACGGGAGCTGGTTCGTGAGCTGACACACTCACATACCAGCCATGAGCTCTGAGTGACTAGGAGCCACTATTTTTGTCTCAGTTTCCCTGCTGGGAAATGCAGATAATACTATCCTCTCCTCTCCCTCATTCTCATGGTGGTTTTGTGCATCAAATGAGATATTTGTGGAAGCATTTTGAAACTTTTTGAATGCCAGACACATTGCACATTTTGATTATTGACAGGACTTCAGAAGTTTAGGTGTCGACAAAAACATTCATTGAAATCATTTAAAAATCTCTCCAGTGTAGAAATGCTAGGGATTCCTTTCTCACCTTCTTTGGAAAGGGGGACTGTATCTGACACCAGGGTAACCTAGTGCCACCAAAATGAACCCCATCACTTCCGTTTCACCGTTTTACCTCCGTTTCACTGTTTCACTTCCGTTTCCGTTCTGAACCACGTTTGTCACTGAGGTTCTTTCTCAGGACATCAGTTATAACTGGGTCGTTTTCTACAAAAAAACATACCTTTCTACTTTATCATTCCGTTATTTATTGAGAATCTACTAATGTCAGCCACTGTTCTTGGTGCCTGGGATAAATCTCTGAATAAAACCAAGTTCCTTGCCATCATGGAGCTTACAATCTCGTATGGAGAGCAAAACAATGAAAAGGAGTATATTGCCCAGCACATTAGCAAGTGATTAGTCCTATGGGGGAAAAAGTAGAAGAGGGTAAGGGGAGCTGGGTGTTAGGAACAAGGTTGCAATTTTATTTATTTTATTTTTTTAAAGATTTTATTTATTAATTTTTAGAGAGGGAAGGGAGGGAGAAAGAGAGAGAGAAGCATCAATGTGCGGTTGCTGGGGGCCGTAGCCTGCAACCCAGGCATGTGTCCTGACTGGGAATTGAACCTGCGACACTTTGGTTCGCAGCCCACACTCAATCCACTGAGCTACGCCAGCCAGGGCTCAGAACAGACCTCTTTAAAGAGGTCTCATCTGAGCAGAGATTTGGGAAAGGTGAGGGGGAGCTATACAGGTATCTGCAGGACAAGCATTTCAGGTTGGGGGAACAGTCCGTGCAGAGGCCTAAAGCAAAGGTGGGCGTAGAGTTTTCAAAGACCAAGGAGGCTGCAAGAAGCCTGACTGTGGATCTCCCTACATCACTCACACTCTCTCCCAAACAGAATAGAAGGTTCTGAAATGGGGGGAGATGAGATTACCAGGCCATTGCCTAACATCCACTGATGCCTCGCTTGTCTTGCGTGTGCTTTTCCCACAGTCACATGACTCAGGCAGTCCCGTTTGATGACCCTCGGTTCGAGAGCTGCCAAATCATCCCTCCAGCCCCGAGGAAGGTGGAGATGAGGAGGGACCCTGTGCTGGGATTCGGTTTCGTGGCAGGGAGTGAAAAGCCGGTGGTTGTTCGCTCAGTGACGCCAGGTAAGCACCCCAGCCCACGCCTCAGGCTCATGGGAACATCCATCACTTGTCTGCCGGAAGGACCACTGTTCGTTTTCCTAAGTTTCATAATGTTTCATTAAAGGCTGTGAAGGCTAGCCAGCTGCCTAGAGGCCGACCACCAGAGGGACAGAAATGGTCCCGAAAACACAGTTTAGACGGATAAATCCATTACATCGCTTTCTTTATGAAAACACTGATCCATAATTTGTAACCCTAGAAACGACCGACTTCCTAATGTGTCAATAGAAATAATAAGAGGCAGGTACTTTACTGTGTTTCAATAAGCTCTTGATGTACTCGTCAGTGGAAAAAAAAGGCAGGAAGTGGTATTTATTTAAGTGACTGCAGGATTCAGTCATTGGTGGTGGTTTATTTTACAAAGATGCACTACCCTCCTTTCCCACTAGGGGCAGAAGATAGTTGCTTGCTCCATTGGTGTTAAGCTAGACTGGGTGACTGACTGTGGCCAACAGCATATTAGCAAAGATGACAGAGGCGAAGGCTTGAAATATGCTTGAGCTTCTTTCTTTGGTTTCTGCCCTGACCATAAGAATTTTGCTCTACTACCTCTTCTGCCTAAGCCCGAAAATGAGCACTCGCGCAGGCAGCCTGCCACCTAGAATGAAGTATACCGTAACCTGCAGTGCGACACAGACTTGCCCAGTCAAGTGTGGAGTGGATCAGCCTAACTGTGGTCATCCTAAAGACCCCTAGGCGTGAAAAGATATGATTATTGGACATCCAGCTAAGGTGTAGAGTGGTTTGTCGTACAGTAAGCACCGGCTGATCCTGTGTGCGTGGCAAATTTCTGAAGTTCTACGGTCTGATCCGATCATTAACATGCTTCCCTCAGTCATTCTCCTTGGAGTATACAGATGTTCCACCAGCAACTCAGTTGAATATAATGATGCAGTTGCCTGTGGTGGGCTGCCTTTGCCCTTTTAGAGACAGTGCTCTCTTTAAGTGTTTCTTTGTTATGCTTATTTATGTATTTATGTTAATGGACTTCCACTGGTGAAAACCATCTTCTGTGCTGCTTCTGGGATTTCACCAGTAAGTGACAGAGTTCCATAGTACAGAGCACAGACGCAGGTGTCAGACTGTCTGGGTGTGATGGATGAGAATCCTGCCTCTGCCCCTCAAGAGCTACTTTGGCTCCCATGTTCACTCCCCAGCATTTCGGTTTGCTGCAAGTTCTCTAGCTCATCTGCATAATGAGGATCGTCATAGCATCTATCTGACAGGACTGGGGAGAGAATACACTACGTTAGAAGAAGAGCAGCTTTTCCACTTTTTCCATAGTGATTACTACTCCTGTACTGTAGAATATTTGGCCAGCTGAGTCTGTCAGTGAAGGGAAATGAAATCCAACTAGTGAGCTAGCACAGATTTTTTTGTAAGTTGAATTTTTCGTACTTTGTAATTTGACATGATCTAACCCAGGACAAGCACCACCGAACAGTCAACTGCTTTCAGCTCGTGCAGAAAATACAGTTTTGTTTTGTTTTTTTCACTCCAACCATGGCCTCATCCCTTCTTACTCTGTCTGCCCAGCTTTTCATTTTATTAGCTGTGGATCATACTGCAATTCTCTGTGTGGGGTTGTTGCGCTTAACCCAATTGAGAATTTTATCCTCAAAATAAAAAAGATCTGTTACTTTTTATGATGAAATCACACGCAGGGTTTCTAAAAAAATACAATGTGCTAGGTAGTATAGAGGAGAAAATGGAAAAAGAAATCACCTAAGCTCTTGCCGCTGAGAGTTGGATGTCATTAATGTGCAGGCAGAGAACATATGTCCAGTACGCAGTTCTGTGCACACATACACGTGTATTTTCTATCATATACATACGTGGGATATTATATGTGTGTAGATAGCCACATGTTTTCCTACCTGGGATTCCATGTGGCATGCCGTTTCATAATGGAGGGATTCTAACATCTCCGGTTATAAGGTTCTGTCCGGCTTGCATCCTCCCGAGAGCTGACTGGAGATTTTGAAGTCTCCTTTTTCAGTTTCTCGCATTGCCTGGCTGCTCCTTCAGCCCTTCCTCGTCCTCGTCTCGCTTTCGCTTCAGACACTAACACCTGCTGTTCGATAATTTGGAGAAGAGTAGAAAAGGGTAAAAACAGAGGTCAAAGAGTCTTGTTTCCAGTCATTTTTACGAGTGTCAATGCTGGTTCAATCTACTGTGTCTATCATCAAAATGACTGTCCTGAAGTCCCCAGTGCTTTCCGAGACGTGACCGCATTTTCGATTCTAGGCAGCGCAGCCTTCAGACTAGCAGGCCGGCAACGATTCTTTGATGCGGGTCACTCCTTCTTATTTTTTTGAGGGAACTATATGTTGCTGGCTCCTGGATTTTTTATTCAAGTCACTTAATTAAAAAGAATATTTCATTTGAATCAAAAACAGAGGTCCAAGCCCTGGCTGGCGTAGCTCAGTGGATTGAGTGCGGACTGAGAACCAAAGTGTCACAGGTTCGATTCCCAGTCAGGGCACATGCCTGGGTTGCAGGCCATGACCCCCCAGCAACCACACATGGATGTTTCTCTCTCTTTCTCCCTCCCTTCCCTCTCTAAAAATGAGTGAATAAAATCTTAAAAAAAAAAAACAGAGGTCTGATGTAAGAGTATGTCCTACTCATCCACAGGTGCTTTTTGCATCGGACTAGGTAGTCTGTCCTTCAAACAATTATTCTGGACTGTGTTCTGTATTTGACTAGCATTTGATTTCTGTTAGTTTGACCGAACTGGAGTGACCGGTAGCACATTTTCCGGCAGTTAGAAGAAACCTCCCCAGTGATTTCCAGAATTGCCTGTGTACACAAACACAGACTCTCAGTTCCCACATCTTGAAATGAATATTTTCCATCACTCGTGTGGGGACATGTTACAGTTCCCCGCCGCTTCCTCCCCAGAGAGAAGATCAAGTTTATGCTCCAGCTTGAGTGACACATAAGTCAAGTGTCCGGGTGGGTGGAGAACAGCTGCACCGCTTTGAGTTCTATGTTCTGGGCGTGAAGTTCACTTCAATCGCGAAGTAACAGTGACAGCATGGGAAGCGTAATGCTTCTGCTGCTCCTGTCACCCAGGGACGGACCTCTGGGAAGAAAGCTAGCGTTTTAGCACCGTATCATTCTGTGGAATGTAATTGCATTATACGTGTGAGAATATGCCAGCTAAATGGAGTATTTGTTTATGGGGTTTATTTCATACGGATGTGTGTTTCGTGCAGCTATGGTGTGATGTGTCAAGAGACCTGGCGGCGGCCAACTTTTGAATTGTAGGAGCGAGTTCAAAAGAGATGTTGGCCACTCCGAACTTGGAAAAGAGCCCACAGACCTTAGCTGAGATCCAGGCCTGTCCTTGCAGCCAGCTCTCTAACTACATCAGCCTTAATGATCTCATTATACCGAAGGGATTCCAGTATTCAGCGAGGTTACCAGGCCCCGCATTTCGGCCGTTGCCTGGTGCATAAGAAGTGTTCCATGAATGCTAGTTCCCTACCTCTTCCTTTCAAAAGCTGCCCCTGGACTCAGGAGCTCACAGACCCTCGCAGCCAAGGCTGGGTGCTCTCCTGTTGACCATGAACGATGCCAGCTAACATCAACATCGGACGAGGCCGCTCTATGATAGTGATGGATCAGGACTAATATAAGAGTCCCCCGTCATCACACGTGAGCACAGGCACAAACATGCAAGCACAGTCCCCACCACAAAAACGCCCAAATAGCCTCATCGTCCAGCTGATATGAGTGGCTGCTGCTCCTGTAACCGGTCCCAGGTTCAGACCTGCCTCCTTCCTCCCAGCTTTCAGACAAGAATTCTTAGCCCTGGCTGGTGTAGCTCAGTGGATTGAGCGCGGGCTGCGAACTAAAGCATCGCAGGTTCGATTCCCAGTCAGGGTACATGCCTGGGTTGCAGGCCATGACCCCCAGCAACCGCACATGGATGTTTCTCTCTCTCTCTCTCTCTCTCTCTCTTTCTCCCTTCCCTCTCTAAAAATAAATAAATAAAATCTTTTAAAAAATTCTTAAGATGCTCAGATAGAATTATCCCCCAACATCCTTAGAGCAGAGTCCTTCCTACCACCCTCTCACTGGGCTGCCTTCCAACTGCCTGCAGCGTGTGGGCCCCCTAGTTGGAATGGGTAAATAAATGCAATGCTGTTCCACTCCAAGTGTGCCCAGGGGGGTGCAGCTTTGACTGCAGGGCATCAACACAATGGGTTGGCTACCTGTTGGGGGATACTGTCTTCTAGGGGCCTTGAAACTCAACGTTCGGTCAGTGGACCAGTAGCAGAAGCAGGACCTGGGAGCTTGTGAGAAATGCATCATCTGGCCCCCGCATGCCTCCCAGCGTGCTGAATCAGTCTGAAGGCTAACAAGGTCCCCAGGTGACTCTAGGCCCATTAAAGTGTTAGAAGTGCCGCTGGGCCATGGAGTCTCAACCTCGCCTGGAATGTTTTAGAGAAATGTTGATGCCGGAGTCCCACCTGCAAAGATTCTGATTTAATTGGCCAGAGTGCAGCCTGGGCCTCGGGCTTATCCAGAGAGTCCCAGTTCTTTCCACTGCGCTGCCACGGTTGAGAAGGACAGATGCAGAGGACACCTGGGTGGGGCTGGGTTTCCTTTTTCTGCTGATAGCATCATTTGCTCACGGTGAATCTCGATCGGAAGAGGAGACTCCGGATGGCTTGATTAGCAATGATCTTCTCACCGCACTTCACTCTCATTTGTCTGCAGGCGGCCCCTCGGAAGGCAAGCTGATCCCGGGAGATCAGATAGTAATGATCAATGACGAGCCGGTGAGCGCCGCACCAAGGGAGCGGGTCATCGATCTGGTCAGGTGGGTACTCTGATCACCGTGCCCAGCCCAGCCCAAGAGCCTGCCGCGCAGCTGTGAGGCCTCATCCAGCAAAGGGAGGGCTGCTTGGGGGGCCAGCTTAGGGCACAAACACAGACCCACACATTCTCCTTGACAGTGCTGACCTCTAGCTTGAGGCGCATGCGCCACAGAAACAAGGCAGCAGATCTCTCACTTCGTGTTGACGTTCTGAGTGCGTATGCTGCATCAAACATGGGTTTTGAGTCCGATGTCTGTCGCTATATCCAAAGGTTGTGTGGTTTTTTTTCCTTCCAAATTACTAACACACTGCTATTTCATAATCAAGGAGATCAAAGTGCGATACCTGCATTCAGGGTAAACGAAGGCTAATTTTATATACATAATCCCGTGGGGACCAAAACATAGAGTTCACCAATTTTTCATACTCGAGCAAGCGATTCATTACTGAATTTTGAGGTCATCAACCTAGGCAAAATGGTAATTAGGTCAAAGCTAGGCCAGTTTAAAAATGTGCTTGGTTGATTGGTTTCATTTTATTGAAGATGTAAATAATTTGTTATGTGATATTCTCAGTGGGCACCAGAAAATATATTGAATGCGATGTTCAAATGTTGGTCAAGAAGTTTCTTAAAAGCCTACTGCAGTTACACTTGTTCAGTGCATTTAGGGCAAAGGGGGTCTTTTGACATTTTCCAAATAAATCTGCGCCTGTTACATTAGGGATGTACTCATCAAAACGCTTTAAACTGAGAAAGGGATCTCCTACCATTTCTGATGTCTTACAACCACAGGTCTATCTGTGCTTTGGGACAGGCACAAAGGGGAGTGCATCTGGGGTTTTCCAGAGCTGGTTTCTTTCCCAAGCCTCGTTCAGCTTCTGCTTCACACAGAAGCATTGGGTGGTCCTGCATGCTTGCAAGAAGAGGCATAGCAATAGAGGAAGCTGTCTTGTAGGGCGACCAACCTTCCCAGGTTCAGCAAGGAAAGGGCCACGTCCTGGAAACCCCTGGGTCCCACAAAGTCAGTCACCCTACTGTAGCCCAGGCCTAACAAGGAAACCTTTACAGCTGGCCGCAGCAGGGTCATCCCTGTCCTGATGGGACATCCAAGTCTCCAAGTGTGTTCCTGCCCGGGAGTGGTCCCCGAGGCTCATGTCAGATGCGTCCTGCATCGGGAGCAAGACGTAGGAGTGCCTCCAACCTTCCTGCGGGTCGGGGATATAGGAATCTGGAGTGACTTCACGTTTTTGAGCCCTGGCAGGGAGCCACGCCATTAGTGCTTGGAACGACTTTCCTCTTGAGCTATGGGTGGTCGTCAGTGGGAACATACCTCATCCAGCCGGCCCTCAGCCTGGTGGGCTGGCATCACGGAGTGCCATGTTTGGGCCTGATGACAGGTCACACAGTCATTTTGTCTCCCCTCGGGCACGCGGCTCCTCGATGATCCGTTCTATTGATTTCTGTGCCTGGGGGACAATAGAAGAAATAAAATATCTGTGTTTGTGTGTGCTGCGACTGAATTGCATGCTTCAGGACAGAGACGGAGTAAAAGCTATCTACACTGTGATCATTTCCTAGGAATCCTGCCAGGGGCCTTTAGAAAGACTTTTGTCCAAAAACCAGTTTTTTCCTTCCACTTTGCCGCTTTAGGGAAGCCAATGACATCTCTGGCAACAGAAGTCTCCGTAGGACTTTCTGTGTACTGGAGCTCAATGAATATTTGTCGAGGAAATGAACCAATTAGAAGAGGGGCGGCAAGCGACAGCTTGCACGCGGTCCGTCCAGCCTGCCACCTGCTTTTGCACAGCCCGCGAGCTAAGAATGGTTTTCACCATTTTTGAACGGTTAGAAGCAATGAAAGAAGGCTATTTCGTGACTCGTGAAAATCCTATGAAATTCAGATTTCAGACTCCATAAATAAAGTTTTGTGTGAAAAGAGCCACACCCAGTCATTTACATCTTGTCTGAGAATGCTTCCTCTATGATAGCTGATGTGAGTAGCCATGGCAGAGACCTATGGCCCGCAACGTGAACTAGTTCCTATCTAGCCCTTTCACAGCAAATGTTCGCTAAGCCCTGCTTTAGGAGATATTACGGTAGCCAATGGCATTTTCTTTCATTAAAGCCTAATTTAGCCTAAAACTCCATATAATATGCACAGACGATTTCTCTCACATTAGGCTTATGTAGGGCAGGATTTCCACATAGTTGATAAAGAGACTGTGGTGTTTAAAATGGATTGAAAAGGAAAACATGCACAAAATATATACAACTGTCTTCCCTTTCTCACGGCCTGGCCCCTGTGGACTGGGGGTCTTGAGGGCATTGACGAGGACAGAGGGCTAAGCGCTCCTTGAGTCACTCCTTGCACTTAGAGTCCGTGCCCCCGCCCCACTGCCCCACCGTCTTGGTGAACCGTGGCTGCTCCTCTGGGTAGCATTGTCTGTCAACTCCCTTTTGTGTCGCCAGTACCTCCATGCTGGCTGTCCTATAAGGTCATTTGTGAGTTCTTTGGTGGCAGGAGAGGAGGGCTCCCTGAGGAGCCACCCCACCGAACAGTAACGTCCTTGGGGGGTCTGGCTCAGGCTTAGCCCTCTTGCTGCTGGTGTTTGTGACCACACCTCTTGGATAAGGCGCCAGTAAGACCAGCTACTCTTCAAGATGTCCATAGGACCTCATTACAGAGGGGAGGAACTAAGCTGTCACCAGATCACAGCACTTCTGACAGTGCCACAGCCTCTCTCCCACCCTTTTCGGCCTTGTATAGACTGGGGGAGGAGAGGGAACGAGGAGGAGGTGGTGGCTGGCAGCAGCCGATCACATTGTGCCTCCTTCTAGAAAGTTCTCAGGGATCCCAGTTGTTTGTAGTCCTCTTTAGAATGAGGTCTCAGCATCCCTTTGCCAGCGTCTCTCTGATAGGTGACAAGGACACAATTTAAATCTGGAATGGAGCTTGTTGTAGAATCAGGCGACCTGGATTCTAAGTTCCGTGAGAAAAGAGAGCTTGTGCGTGTTGTCACCCGCTGTGTCCCCATGACCTATGACCCCAATGCCCGGCTCATAGGAGGTACTCAATGACAACGTGTTGAGCGAGCCAGTGGGCTCAGAAGAGCCAGCTTCCACAACTATAGATTTAGGTGGTTTCCCCCAGCCCCCTTTCAGTTCTCAGTTCTGCGAGTTTGAACATCACCTCGTGAATCCATGCCTCAGAGTCCGTGCCTTAGGCACCTGCTGCACACAGGACACACAGCTAGGCACCCAATACACAGAGATGGGGGCGACAAAGCCCAGCTTTCAGAGACTTCCGGTCTATGCTACTATGAATAGTGATGTCTGTTCATGTGGGACCTCCTTAAGACCGGCAGGTCCTCATACCAGACACTTGGGGGAACTGTCAGATTTAAAGGAGTTTTAGCAGTGACAGAAACACACAGACCCTGGGTGCTGTTGGGGTGGTGAACGTGTAATTCCAAAACATGCTTCCTTTTAATCTCAGGGAAGCCAATGTATCTTTATAAAAACAACAAGGCACTTTATTTGAAGCAAATACATCTAAAAATAGGGTGCACCTCACGGAGATGAAATGCGGCTGGCTGTGGAGTTCTTCTTGTCACCGACCCCTTCAAACTCGTTAAACCCGGATTTTGGAAAGAATGTATTTCTCACTAATGAAAACGTTCACGTGGTAGAAAAAGTCCGTGTGCCTTCCCATTAGTCAGCCATATGTGTGCTAACCTGGAAATGTCGCTGTTAGAGACTAATCTCTTTTTTATTGGGCTTCTCAGCCGATATGTTTTTCATGTCTATATCTTACACAAGATAAATTCCCTTTCTGTTTAATAAAATATCCCATTTTCTCAGCCACTAAGGACATTTGGGAAAAAAAATACTCATCATTTGACTAACACTGTAAAATTCTCTCTGTAAAAGCTGGCATTTCCATTTACTTGCCTAAGTGGGTTAATCTTGTTTTGTTCTTTTTTTTTTCTCCCCTTGCTTTTGCTCGTGGATCATTTTTTTTTTTGTTTCCAGATACATTTGTGTTTCTTTGTGGATTCGTTTTCTTATGTGGGTGCTCTCGTATAGAAATTTTTTCTTGAGAAAATGAAAGAGTTTCTTGAAGACCAATTTACTGCTATAGTAACCACATTCGGGTTTCTGCATGTGTCCTCAAAAAGTTCTATAATTGCCGCGCTGAAATTAGACAAGTTCTGTTCATCTCCTAATTTTGTAAGTTAACTGTCACTCATACTTTACAATGGTTGAGGAGCAGAATCTTTGAAGAGTTTAGGCCTTTTCAAATTTCTGTAGACTTCTTCTTCAGAAGTATCCAAGGGTAATTTCCCTTGGCTTTGCACACTTAGACAAATTCACTGAAGACAGTCTCCAAGATTTTATTTTTCAAAACTAGGGGGTATAGTTGCTGATAGCCATTTTTTCCTTGTTTTGATTTAATTTGTATTGTATTTTTTTCATTACCATTTATCCCCCTTATACCGACTTCCACCTGCATTCGCCACATGGTTGTCCATGCCCATGAGTCCCTTTTCCTTTTTTATCAGTCCCTCCACCCCTCAACTTCCCCCCACAAGCTGTCATCCAGCTCACCGTCTAGCTCAGAGCCATTTTGAATCATGCCCCATTCCCCAAGGCTAGCCAAGCCAATTAAATTTATTTGACTTCAGCAATTATTGAGCAGTAACTAGGTAAGAAATGTTATGTAAGGTGCCGGGGGACGTATAAATACCTAAAACGTGGTTCCTGCACTCAAGGAGGAGACTTCTAATTAATTGCACTATATTTATGACTGTGCAAGGCTGGGGGGGGGGGTATTGTTCGGCAGCCATGTTCGCTGGGGATGGAGCGGATGTGAAGGGGTGCAGAGGTGGTGGTGGAGGGCAGCCGTTGAACCTGAGTGGAAGGGCAGGTTTATGCAGGGAGAGAAGCTTGGGGAATAGATCCTCCCATTTCCCCGGAAACCCCAGGTTCTCCTAATGGATGCTCACTTTCCAACCTGCAGATATACAGATATCTTATCCATCTCCCAGATGGCTGTCCCCAGGCACAACCTCAACATTTCCTCCTGCTTTTCCTCAGTGGCCCATTCAAGGTGGCAACAAGAAATCTCTGGGCTCACGTTAGACTGGGAGGCATTTGTCTTTAGGGGTTAGAGAGCCAGCTGAGAATCAGATAAATACCATGGGCTTGTTCCTCCACCCAGAAAAATCCACACGAAGGCACGGTGTTGCATAGAATATCAGAATGCTTCACGAACCCCTCACTCCCATGCCAATCTCAGTTTCAGAGCCCTGGCAGCTGACTCTGAAAACGCTGGCACCCTTCCTCTCCCTTTGTCCTTATTGGAAGGGAGCGCTGAAGAGCCTACCGTGTGAGTGACTCTGCCCATCACAGCAGTGGACGCTGAGGCCAGCCCACCCGTCAGTAAGGAGGCACAAGGCTCGAACTGGAAACCAGTACTCCTTCCTCTGCACTAGGGCAGCGAACGGCCACCCCAGCTGTCTTCTCTCATTACCGAACTCGATTATTCCTCCTGATCTAATTAATGAGCAGTGCTATAGCTATGGCTGCATCTACAGGAGGCTGCCCACATCCGCCAGCTCTTCTCTACCTATTCACCGGGATTGGAGAGCATTTCTGGGGAGCAGTAGGGTTCTTCTCATAAGAAAGTAACCATAACAAGAATAGGTGATGAATGACTGATCATCCTTTAATTCACAAAGGACAAACCCACTAATGGTTAGTAATATTCCTTTTACCGAAGTAACTACTACATATAATCATATGCCAAGCAAAATGCAAATTCTACTTTAAACCCGAAAAGATTATTCCAACCATTCTAACAAGAACTCCTACAAAGGAAATAAGCCAACTCACGGGCACAGTCAAGGTCAAAGCTTTGTATATAACTTTTAAGGGTCACTTTTTTGATAATTCAGAAACAAAAGGACTGTTATTGATGATATCCCAACTGATAATGATGATGAGAATGAACATGTATTAACTCTTTTTTTAAAAGATTTTATTTATTTTATTTTTAGAGAGGGAAGGGAGGGAGAGAGAGAGAGAGAGAGAAACATTAATGTGCAGTTGCTGGGGGCCGTGGCCTGCAACCCAGGCATGTGCCCTGACTGGGAATTGAACCTTTGGTTCGCAGCCCGCACTCAATCCACTGAGCTACGCCAGCCAGGCCTATGAACTCTTTATTATACACTAACCTTCTGCTAAACACTTCCATTCCTTAGTATTAGGACAAGTTAACACTTACATGGTGCTTACTCTGGCCTGTCCTGAATTCTTTCTGTATGTTAACTCTTTCAATCCTCACAGTGGTGAGTGGGTACGATGGTGACCCCTAATTTATAGATGGGGAAACTGAGTTACAGAAAGGGAAAAGGACATGCCCGAGATCGCACAGCAAGTACGTGGTGGAGTGAAACGCAGTCAGGCTCCTGAGTGAACGCTCCCAATCTCCTTATTACCTGCATTCCTCACACCAGTCTCGGGAGCAAGTACTCTTCATTGTACACGAATTGTGGAGCGGACACTGAGGTTGAGAGAGGTTAAAACATGTGTTCAACCTGAGTGCTTCCATGCAGAGTGTGGTGGAAGAAAGCCGGTCCCAAACCTGCTGGGCTGAAGGGGACAAGAAGCCTCACTACCTGGCATATCAAGACCTTACTCGGTGGGCCAAGCAAACAACAGAACCTGGGTTTCAGCACCCACACCCCCATAATTCCCTGTTTTGATTATACACCAGCAGCCCGTCTCCTCTCCCAGGTTCACCAAGCACTTGCCTTGGTTTTAGTAGGAAGTGCCCAGGACTACCTGCCTGTTGCAGTTGGTGGGAGATTGGCAAGTTTAATAGGAGCAACATAAACCATGTAGAGGGGCCATCTAAAAATTAGATCACAATGTGCCTTTTTTTTGCCATCATTTTCACTTTATAAATGAGAAATTTAAGTCAGGTAACAGACCAAGGCCTCTAAGTGCTGGTGCTAACTCTTGCATACTTTCTTTCTCAGGGGAGTTGGCAAAGGATCCCAGGCCCTCATAGCTTTAACTCCTAGAACCTGCAGGTTTCTGACACACAGGTAGAGGTGCCAAGAACCTACACCCAGACGAGAAGACAAAAGCACTTGTGAACATTTAATGATTTCCTATCCATGTGGCTTCAAGCTACCAGCACACAAGCCCCACCAACACTCTTAATCTTCTCAGCAATTCTGCTGAAGAGTTTGGCCTTCACAATGACAGGCTGCTTTGGGAGCGTTCCCTTCCCCAGAACTTTGTAGTAGCCCGATCGCACCACATCAATGATGGGAGCCGCTCCGGTCTTGTTTTTGGCAGCATTGACCCGCATCTGCTCACTGGCCAAGGTCCACAGTTTATCCAGGTTGACAGTGGGGCAGAAGCTCTGGTTCCTCCTGAAGTGGTAGTGCCTCATACCAACTTTCCCAAAGTAACCTGGGTGATATTTGTTGAAGTTGATCCTGTGATGATGCAAGCCACCAGCATTACCTCGGCCTCCCGGGTGCTTCCTGTGCTTGCCGATGAGGCCATGGCCGTGGCTCATGTGGCCCCGAAGTTTCCAGGTCTTCCTCAGTCTGGATGGCATATTGGTGGCCGAGACACAAAAGCATGGTATGCCTTTTTATCAGTCCCTCCTGATCAGAATTATAATGGAAGGACAGCTCAGATCGTGTTCCAGAGCTACTGTGTCTGTGGAAGAATTAGGAAGGTCACCTTTCTGTCTACTTGCAGGCGGGCTTAGATGCATGATGGGGCTGCTTAGTAAAATACCAAAGCAAAGAACATCTACTGGGCATTCGGCACATGAAATATGCATGATGATGTATGATATAATAAGGCCTTATGATGGTAGGACCAGCAGGCAATTTCAGTGCGAACACAAAAGAACAGCCCCTTGGTGTGCCGACGCTACACATTGTTGTGTCACCCGATGCACACTTGCGCTGCGCACACTTCCTGACAATTGCACATGGCAGAGCCGAGGGAGAAAGGGGGCAGCCATTCCAGAAAATAGAGTGTGTGGGAAATCATTCTAATCCAGGAAAAAAATAGAAAAAAGGGATTTGAGTCCATTGTTCATAAAGGCTACAATGACATACAGGGTCTGGCGCAAATAACACCCCTTTTTTATTACAAAATCTTTTTTTAGAGATTTATTTATTTAGTTTTAGAGAGGGAAGGGAGGGAGAAAGAGAGAGAGAGAAACATCAATGTGCAGTTGCTGGGGGCCGTGGCCTGCAACCCTGGCATGTGCCCTGGCTGGGAATCGAACCTGCGACGCTTTGGTTCGAAGCCCGTGTTCAATCCACTGAGCTACGCCAGCCAGGGGCTTATTATTACAAAATCTTTTATTACAAAATCAGAAGTATGTAATTCTGTGAGGTAACGATATCACACTCAAGCACACCATATGACATTTTGAGGTGAAATGTTCAAATTATGACACCCATATTATCTCCCTACAAACCACACTCAAGCAGGCGTTCCTTCCACGGGACCCTGTAGATTGATGAAAATGAATAAGAAAGATGGCTTCCCCCAGATGATTCAGTGTCCCTTAGATGTTGTTACTGACTGTCTCCCACTCATCACATCTCTCTGTTCCTGGAGATGCCTTTGTGCAACTCATGTATGGAAAACGGATGTTGAAAATTGAAGAACCATAAGAAGTTTTAAACTAGGGCAAGTTTTCAGTGATCTCACATGATTGACATTACTGAATGTCTTAATATCTTACTTGTATTAAGAAAAAAATGGAAGATAATTATTGCCCTTGTTGCATATTCTATTAATTCTTTAGAACTACAAATTTATAAATTCTTCCATGCCCCTTCTATAAGTAGCTGACAAGACCCCCCCCCACCCAAATCTTTTTCAGCCCATGCTCAGAACATGCCCAGGGCTAAAGTATAAGCCTTATTTCCTCAGGATCTCAGTAGAAAGGAGTCAGGAGCTCAAACTTTTATATAGGACACAGTGGGTAGGTGTGGTGGGCAAGAATCTCACAGTCATGTGCACGATCTGTGTCATTATTTATCTGTTAACTACAATAGTCCCTATCTCATTTCAAATGCCCATCCTAGTGTGGGGTTGCTTCGTCCCATTTTCTGCAAGACTGAGTCTACAGTTAGGGCTGTTGGTTCAGTGGAAGGAAGTATTGGCACCGCTGAGGTGTACCTACTCACTGGCCCCATCTTCCATTCCTCTGGAACTCACCGAGAGGTCTTTGTGTCATTCCTCGTTCACCACTGTCAGCCTCTGGCATCTTGGGAGCGAGCCCTTGTTCTTTGTGAGCCGTACTGGGATGTGAGATCATTTCTAGGGCTGACTCCCCCCGGGACCTTGTCACCTTCACCGGATGTTGAGTCAGAAAGAAGGCCCAGTTTGCTGTGCTCTTGAATTCCACAAAGAGGTTCAGCCGTTCCCGGTTGGCTCTTTGCGGAGGATCAGCTTCTTGAAAAGAGAGCCGGGAGGCGTGCCTGCTCTTTCCCAGGCTCGCACTAGTCGGTGCTCTTTGCTTGCCCTGGGATTTATCACACCTCTCCATCCTCCTGACAAGTCCCTGCTCTGGAGAGGAGGCAGCTTTACTCTGATATATTGACTATCCTTCCTAGCCTATACTCTTTATCCTTTGTTCCTGGAACCTAGCTGTTACTCTCCTTTATAACAACCCTGTCCTGCAGCGATGAATGTTGTGCAGTCTGGCTGAACAAATGGGGGAAAAAGTAGACCTGCTCAATCAGAGCAAGGAAATTGAGGTACGGGGGGTAGGGTGGGAACATCAGTGAGTATTTCGAAATAGTATGCTGCTACTCCAGGAAAAGGCATGGCGTAGAAATGAGGAACAAAGGCAGAATTCACATCCAACCTCTGCGGTGGGTCAGCTGTGTGTCACCTTAGGCAAGGACTTCATTTATATAATCTCAGTGTCGTGACCTCTACAGGGAAGACCTACCACATACAGTTGTTTTCAGAATGAGATAAAGCACAGCGAGTAACGCTCGTAGCACAGGAAGAGCCCAGGATAAGCTGTTAATAAATGTGAGTTAATGTCGTTTTTATCGAGGTCATCTTCACATCATCACCACAGCAGAACCATGCCGAGCAAGTTGCCTCAATCTCAGGGTCTTGATCTCCTCGTGTATAACAGTAACTAGGAATTTGCACTTCTAAGCCATTGTCTAAGGCTCAAATGAGATCATGTATGTGAGAGCACATGACTTTTAATCACTTAGGTTGTTTCGTCAATGATTCCTCTTAAAGTAGCAGAGTAGGGGTCCGGAACACAAACCTTGATACTCAATCAAAACCAGAGAGGAAGGCTCTGGCTGGTGTGGCTCAGTGGATTGAGTGCTGGCCTGCGAACCAAAGGGTCACCGAGTCAATTCCAGTCAGGGCACATGCCTGGGTTGCAGGCCAGGTCCCCAGTAGGGGGTGTGTGAGAGGCAACCACACATGGATGTTTCTCTCCCTCTCTTTCTACCTCCCTCTTCCTCTCGCTAAAAATAAATAAATAAAATCTTTAAAAATAAAAAAATAAAATTTTATTAAAAAATAACCCAGAGAGGAAGCTGGGTAGAAACCTAGTATTTTAAGATAACGATAACTTGGGAAATGATTTTAAAAAGCCAGGACTTGTAAGGGACTCTCTCCTGGGGTGCTAGGACCCAGCAGTGCTGCTCAGTGAACTTGATATGGGGCCCCACACAGGCGTGCAGCAGCACAATAAGGTGGTGGCTGGAACAAAAGTGATTTCAGTGTTGTCACATGGGTGAGGGGGGTGTGGAAACATTCAGGAGGCATTGGCGTGTGCCCTGCTGGCATTGAGTTTGGGTGAGGAATGACCCAAATCAAGGGTCAGAAACCTTTTTGTACAAAGGACCAGATAGTGGATATTCTAGGTTTTGCAGGCCCTGTGTGTGCCCTCTGCCACAACTCAGTGCTGCCGTTGTGAGCATATAAATGGCCATAGATAATATGTAAGTAAGTGGGCGTGGCCGTGTTCCAATCAAATGTTATTTACGGAGACAGGGGACTGACTGGATCTAGCCTGCAGGTTATCATTGGCCACCTGTGACGTAAACAGATGAAACTTAGAGACCTGAACACAATAGGACATAGAGGCAGAGAAACAACACCGAGGGTGCTGAGCTCATTTTTGCCAGCAATAATAGTAAAGATAAAGCAAATATTTTGAACTCTGAGCACCTGAAATCCTTTTGTAAAAGTGGAGAGTTAAAAAAAGTAATGCAATAAACAGCACAAATGTTTGTGGATGCCTTCCCGGACTCGCCCCCCATATACCTCCAACGTGAGTAAGTCCCGTATCTTGACCCACTGAAATGTATATACGTCTGTATTGTAATTTATACCGTATAACGTTACCATTATTTGTGAATTCGTCTGTCTTTGTCACAAGTCTGCATATGACAGAGGCCAGAATTAGGATCATACCAGCTCCAGTAACGAAGTCAAAGCAATACAAAGATTTAGTCACAATAGGAGTTTGTCAATCATGTGAAGTTCATGATAGCTGCTCCTGTTTGGCGGCCAGCTCTCTGTCAGGGCCTGATCCAGGGACCCCCCCGCCCCAGACCCTCCCTGTTTTGTAGCTCTGCCAAATTAAACACGTGGCTTCCTGTTTGTCCCTGTCGAACTGCAGAAGGGGAAAAGGATGGAAAGGCTCGTGGAAGGTTTCTAGGCCAGGCCCAAAGGTGTAGACAGCACTTTCACTCCCCTTCCTTTAACAGGAAGCCGGCCGCATAAATGCATGCACTTATACAGGAAGCTGAACGTAGTCCAGCTGGGTGCCCGGACAGTGGAGGGAGCAGGTGTGCAGAGCACGCAGCCCGTCTCCTCACAGATCCTATTTTCTTCATCACGCCAGCCTTCCTGCCCAGTGCCGTGCTGAGCATGAAATTGTAAGGAAATCAGTGCTTGCAGAAAGAACCCTAAAAGTGAATGTAATGTTACCTGCCCTTAAAAAGATGACATACAACGTATTTTCTTCTTTCAATCAAATCTAAACGAGTTGATAACCTTTGCGGCCATTGTGCCAGAAGCAGGTCCATCGCCTGTCTCCTGTATTTGCATATGGGTTGATTTTAACCTTGACACATCCAACGTTCCAGACACCCCTATCACTCCATCAGCATCATTCACTGTATTACCTCTCTGCTTCACTTCTACTGACTTCACAGTTCCCAGCCTCTTCACATCACTTTAGACTCCACTCGCAGATTTACAGTGAGGTGTTTGGCGTGTGGTTGCCATCAGCATTCTGGAATGAACCTGCCCCCGCGCCTTCGTGCAGTGTCAGATCGTGTACCCACCGTAACCAGAGTTACATTCAAGCCCACACTGAGGGGGACCTCTAATTTGACATCAGATTCAATAACCTGTCTTTCCTCTGGATAAAGGCAGTATTTACTGCCCTTTTGTGTGGGTCAAGGGCTGTATGTATGCCCCGAGTACATCGGTTACATGTGAACTTGCAGAAAAACATTGTCCCCCTTGGCTAACTGGATCAGCACCCGGGATTTGTTCTCTCCCTATGCTCCCTTCTTGTCGGTAAGGGGCATACAG